TGATCATACGTTACCTCGATTTTTGTCCACAATCGGCTCAAAAACACACATGCAAGGATTCTCTTTCCAGTCACTTACTGATGGCAATGAGGTCTATTGCTTGCTTGGTTGGAATAATAACATTATTCCTTTGTCAACGGCGCAAATTCTAGCAGTGCTTGCGAACTCTTTAAAATTTACGTCGTAAAGTTCAATTGCAACCAAAGAGTAAATATAGAAAAAACCTTAATTGTGTTATAGGCCCAATTTAAATTGTGGCAATGGTGGCATATTTTTATTAAGATGCCACTTTTAATGAGGTCTGCTATACGCTGTCCTTATCTGCTCACAGCCGCGTTTCACTAGTGAGAGTGAATCTCGGTGTTTGTCATCCTCATCAGCACCATCATTCTATCCCCTGCACTTCTCAGTCCATCATATACTATTACGTTTTCTTGGTTTTCTCTTGGCAAGTGGATTCAAACGGAAAAAAACCTTGTATAGAACTTGTAGCTTCAAATTTATGAAAAGTCAAGGACGGGTTCCATTTTTTTTATCCTTGCCTAAACTCTCTCCCTCAGATACTGGATTCTCATGACCTTCCTCTAGTACTAGGTTTTCAACTTCAAAGTATATATTGTAGTATCGTCACACACATTATATGTTTGCTAATTCAGAGTAACTTTTTCCCCATCCATAGGTCTCATTCTTAGCATGAGTATATCACTAACAAGCATCCTTTTGACGGCTAGATTGGCGTATATTGTGAAAAGCAGTGTATAGCTTAAATTTTGGTGTTTTTATATATGTGAGCACGGTGTACATTGTATTCATGGTGCATACTTGACCATAGGAGAGAGGCATTAGGTAGGAGATGGTGAATGGAATGTAGCAGAGAAGATGCTAGGTGCGTTTATGCGATTTGGTCCTATCACATGGCGCAATTCTGATATAAAGGAAAAAAAGATTGAGCTTCCAAGATGGCTGATTTCGTTGATAAAGGCATTGCAATCGAAAAAGACGGAGATTTAGTGAGAGTTACGCCTTGGGGTTTTTTTCATTTAAATATTTATTATTTATAATGTTTGAGAACCTTCTTTTTGAAAAACGTTTGTTGACTAGTCATAATATTTACTGTGATTTAAACACAATGGTGAGGTCTCTTGAGAAAAAAATTTCTGCAAAAATAATGAAAAATCTAAAGAAATAATAAATGAGTAAAAAAATATAAATGGTAATTAGTATACATATCTAAGTTATTTAAATTCCTTATAATCATACATCACATAATTACAAACAGAGAGAAAAAATGAGTTCAAGTCCTATGTCGATGAAAGTCTTGGGATTACATTTCCATCTTATCAAATTGCACTTCATATTCTACAACATATAAGATGTACATATTATCTACCTTAAAGTATAATGATGAATATTTAATATCCACAAAAGTCTTCCGATATGTTCCAATTTAAAGTTTTTAGGAAGAAGTAGTCAACTTAATTATCCTCGAACTTTGGGAAAAAAAAGTGCAAAATGTTTCACAAATCAGTACTTAGAATATCCAACATTTGCACACAAATCAAACTACCACATCTCTAAATATTACTCCTTGGGCACCTACAGACACACGTATAATGAAAAAAAAAACCCCCTCTATTTAAGGATAACATCAACTTCCAAATTGAACTCGACCTTGGATGTAGCATAGATTTCGTAGAGAAAATTACAAAATGACTACTATTTTGCCACTATGCTAATCAAGCGACCCTTGAATCGTGTATATGCGTCTCAACTCATAGGGCAAATCATATTATTAGTATCTATTGTCGAAATTGTGGTTTATGGCGCCTTACAAGGAAGACTTATTCTGTAGTTACTAATGGAATTGTCTGTACCTATAAAAAAGTAGGCGAGGAATTAGTTATCACAGAAAAGCACGTCATAGTATGGGGCCTTGCTATATCAATATTCGGCCTTCAGACGACTTGTTCGAGTTTTCACTCTATTCTTCAGTAGCTGTCCAAGAACCAAATTTGCAAGTTCGCAACAACTTTCTGCATGGTACCCCATCTTCTGTTACTTCTATCATGCATACTATTTACACACGTGTAAGCTTGGCGTATCGTGAAGGATACGGACTAATCCCCATAAATCAGGGAGCTTAAAACAAGCCTCGTAACCTGTAGTCGCTGTCCTGTCAAATAAAGCTTTGGAATATCATTATTGGAATTTTTTACAGATATCCTCTAACTTCTTGAGGCAAGGACCATTTGTCCTGAATGCTTCTTCCACGGCTCCAAGTTTAAATCTACCTTCATATGCTTCTGACGGCTTTAAATCTGCGTGGTTTTCCACCATAGGTTTTGTATAGCCTGGTGATTAGCTGTGATATCTACTTCTTTAGCAGCAAGGATTTATGGAAGTGGTCGATTTTGCAAAAATGACACAACAATGCTATCAGCTTTAGCTGAATACGAAAGCTCCTAAGATATGAGTGATAATGCTCCGCGCACAACGTAGTACCTCGGGCAGAATCCGGAGGGTAACTAGGTTAGGCGTAGATTGAAGACAAATATTAGCCTCTTCTTCTCTCTACCTTAGAAAATGGACCACTCCACGGTGGAATGTAATTATTAAGAAGCTGATTTTTCGAAGGACGTTTGATTCTCTAGCCTTCTTTCATGATCATTCCTCGTTGTCGAGTAATTGATCCCTTTTTCGAGCTACGGTAGTTACAGTAGGCATCCTTTATTATATTTTATATTTTTTCTATAATAATGATTATTTCAAATTCGGCAATCTATTAGCGCATACTCAAAATGGTTCAAGCCAGTTGGATCCATATAATTTCATCTATACTATGACATTATGTGATGTTTCACGGACTTTAACAAGACACGAAGAGAAAATCCACTCATTTGAGTTGAATGGAAAATCAACGAGAGTTTCAAAATATATAGTTGAGGGTTTCCAGTTGATTGAAGAAAAAAAAAATTCCTTATTAAATTACAAATTACTTCAGAATTACAAAAACTTAACAATTTACAAGAAATCTAAATATTTCTTTCCTACTATTAAAATTTCAAACTCCACATATTCTGGCATGAACATTGAATCACACTTTTCATAAAAATGAATAGGATTTAAAGGGTACATTAAAAAACAACAAAATAGCAAAAACCTATGAACCAATACAAAGATCAAACTAGACATATTACTGAAGGCAAAGTCTCAACATCACACCATTAACATATAATTTATAAACAAGTTGAAATTATCTGAACTATCTACATCACATGGAATTCAACCAACATCGACATAAAAATTATCTAACTTTATAGCCTTCTTATGGATTGTATCAGTTAGTATTTTTATATGAAAATAGAAAATCATGTTAACTAAGCTATAAAATAAACTAAAGAGAATTATATGTTTGCTGCTTGTGTACTTTATCACTAACATATCAGATTCAAGGTCCTAGATTCTATAAAGATTCAAGATAAAAAAGTAGAAGTAAAAGTTCTTGCATTTTTCAATGTCATATGTACTTTGATGGACGTTGCTTCATATGCTCTCCATGAAAGTGGATAAATGAAGTTTATTTAAATGAAACCTGTCACCTATATCATTTAATAATATAATTACTTGAGTCAAAGATAGGTTTGGCATGATCCTAGTTGATTTATACATAATTCCAATGTTAATTATATATCAAATTCTTTAATTAAGGATATTCAATAAGTCCAGTCAGTATGACTAAATTCTACTTCATCAACAATACTGTACTATTATTATAACAAATAGAAATTTTCGATAGAAATGTTTATTTTAATACCAAGTAAATCAATGTAAGTAAAAAGAATCATTCGAAGGAAACATTCAAAAGAGGTGAAAACAAGTCTAGGCTAGAATATATCGAATGACTCCTATGTATGAGTTAGTGAAAGTTCATATACGTGCAAAACATCTTGGATGGAGTAGCAATTAGCTAGTGACACACAAAATTTTTAGATGCACTCCTGTCATGCACAATATCGCACATTCTCAAGCAATCCGGTAAGGATTTCACATTTTTTGAAGATTACCTCTCAAATTTCCACGAAATTTAATTAGCCAAATCATCAACTGATTATCTAATTTGGTCTACAAGGCTCAAGGCCCAAGGTCTACATAAAAATGTGTATCAAGAGCCATGGGAGATATGAACATTTCCCAATGATCTTCTTATCTTATACCAACTAGATACTATTGAGCAACTACTGTATCTCTTGAGAATTCCGGGCGCATTTATTTATTTATTTGGAGACATCACAAAATTGATCTCATCAGCATCCACTTGCATGGAAAACGAACGAAGATAGATATTTCGGAATGCTTTCATGCCAAATACATAACGACTTCCAACCCTATAAATTGACCACTTGAAAATGATAGTGTATGATCCAGGTCAGACGAACTAAGAGATAGATAGGAACGGTGCACTTCAAAGCCGCGGTGGGATTCGGCACAGTTGGTAGACTGGACTTCTAACTGGGCCATTCGCGACGTAACCACGCGAGCCCTTCGTCACTTTGAACCCGTCGGGCTTACAACCACGTCGCCTGTGAGGGAACAGCCACTAGGACGTCGTCCTTGAGGACCTGTCACCGTGCCCACTTTAGGCCCTCCCTCTCCACCCCTTATCTCGAAAAGCTTCTGGACATTGAAATGCCAGCAAGATTAAATTAAACGGTGGCCGCAAATTTCACGAGCTCTTGGGTCTCAGCCCGGGACCCTGCCGAAGATTAGATTCACCGGAGTTGCATGGTGGAGTTCCTGGTCACCGCCTCTCCCGGGAACGGGACGGGACGTACGAGGCCGAGTAGGAAGACGTTCGGAAAAGTAATTCACGCGACGGGCTCGTCTTCGTACCATGTCAGAGCCAACAAGTTTTCGAATACGTACTGGCCGTGCACGAATATGTTGCGACGACGCGAGAGATCAGACTATAAAAGCCAGTTCAGATTCCTCTGTTTTCACACACAAATTTCGGACGTCGACTTGTCGCGTCAGTGCGAGATCGCTAGTCGACAACGGCGGCGAATATCCACGGTGTCCGAAGTTCTCGAGCGTGGTCGACACTGGACCCTTGGTCCCCTGGTGTGAGCGAGCCCGCGAGAGCGAGAGCAGCTGCGGATTCTCGAGCCTTCGTTGGCGATGGCGAAGAGTGTCTCGGTGGGCATTGTGGGCCGCCGGGAGTTTTGAGCTTCTCCGAGCGTTGTAGCATGCATTGCAGAAGTGGCTGCTGAGCCGGACTTGGAGTAGACAGGCTCTGCCGAGAGTGAGCACATTCGCGGAGACCACGCGCTCACAAAATGGCGACTGCTCCGGGCGCTCTGTACGACTGGCCGTGGCAAAAGCTGGGGAGCTTCAAGGTTCAAACTCGGGAACTCATGGACTCGTGTGTCAATTGTAGTTCTCCGCCCTCGCTCTTGGTCTTGCTCTCGCTCTGCAACGGAGGGATTCTCTTGAATCTTCCCTGAATGTCGACCCCTGTAGCCGTCGTTTTGCTAGTTCGTTTCTTTAAACCTCTGCATTCAGCGCTGCCTTTCCAAATTGTATCTCTCCCATACGCCTTCTGTAAAAAATCGGCTGGCTACAAAATGTACTTCGTTTCGTCGTGACCTCTCTACAATATTATTTCCTCCTCGTCTACGACTTTCGTTGCCTCGTTCGTCTTCGCAGACATGAAACGTTCGACCGTTTTCCTGTCATGATTCTCCTTTTGTTATAGTGGTTTTGAATTCGAGTGCAGGAGCTCCTGCGCGCCATTCGAGCTCACATTCGCCTGTTTCCTGCCAGGAAGAGGATTCTACTGATTAAGCCTCGGGATTGTGTTTAGCACTACATGATTGTAATTAGCGTTAATGACCTCGACAGTCGCGATGGAAGTCGTTTCGTATGTGGTGGTCCTCGTGTACAATTTACGGGGGCTCCATGAATTCCAAGCAGTCTTCAACTTTGTTTCTGTTTTCACGTCGTCTAATTTGTTTCCATTGGACTCGGCCCGCAGTATCTGCTGTTCGTGCCGTTTGTGGTGAAAGCGACACACGTGAATGTTTTCGGAGGACACGAAGCCGATAACTGGTGCTTGCACATGTTGATCAGCACGGCGCTGCGCTACTTGCATGGACAAATTTGGATGTCGTTGTCCCGATTCTACCATCTCACCGAGAAGTATCAAATTCAGAAGAAGGGCATCAATTTTCAGCAGGTCGACAGAGAAAGCAACTGGTACGCAGGGTTAACGTGAACGACATTTGCACCGAATGCATATTTGAGGTCGATCTAGCAGTCAGCATTTACAGAGACTTTCTTTTCAGACTTGCGCAGTCTGCGTCCAAAAATTGAAGTCTGGAGAGTCCCTTTGTGAAGTGGACAGCAGTATGACCCAGGGTGGTCAGTTGTGAACGTCGATCATCTCTCATGCGTCCGGGTTTGTTTCGTTTGCAGGGATGACTTCACAATTTTGCAGCTTATTGTCATCACAATCGTTCATAGCTATATTCCGGGCTTCAGCAACATTCCGCTCTGGGACACTCGTGGCATCATTTATCTCCTACTGCTACACGCCGGTCCAGCAGAATTTATATACTACTGGGCACATCGCGCCCTCCATCATCACTACTTGTATACGAGATACCACTCTCATCACCATGCTTCTTTCGTCACGGAGCCTATATCGGGTGAGCAAAGCTCCTCCTTAAACAAATCGCGACAATTGTCGTTCTCTGATATCGGCCGAAGGTGACGTTGATCCGATTGGTCTTCTGAAATATGAATACAGCAGAAATATAGATTTTTTATTTCAGTTCTTTATCGTATTCTGACTCAGAGATGTGAAAAGAATGCATGAACCAATCGCTACAATGGATTTGATTTTCGGACTTGACGATGTATAGTAGACATCTTCACACCTGAAGATGTTTTGAAGTGTAGTGAGTCTCCACAGTTTCTAAAAGATCCGGTTGATCAGGTCATGGCGGTTGTAAAGTTTTAAAACTATGAGTACCTATTTGGCCGGCCTGAATCCGAATGTGAATCTTTTGGTGCTTCGTTTCAGGCAATGTTCATCCCTTCGCTGAACATATTCTGTACACTGCAATTTTTGCCGTACCCATGCTTGGTTCATGGGCTTTGGGAGGCGTGAGCATGGGGATGGTGTACTTTTACTGGCTCTGGTTCGACTTCATGAACGCCATTGGTCATTGCAACTGGGAGTTCATGCCACCGTGGGCTTTCAAGGCATTTCCACCTCTGAAATACCTCATCTACACCCCAACGTGAGCGTCGTACCACCTGAACACGGTCCCCTCTTTCTCTCGTGGCTTTAATTTACGAGCCCACTTTTTGGATCAGTTTATTCTCTGCATTAATGACACAAATACCAGGTGCTTTGAGATGACTTGGTGGTAGTTGGATCCTACCACCAACTATATTTTTCCGTGCGCTGATCTCAAAATCTCGTGTGCAGGTATCATTCGCTGCACCACTCTCAAGTTCACACGAACTTTGCCCTTTTCATGCCTCTTTACGATTATCTCGGCGGTACAGTTGACAAGAACTCGGATTCTCTGTACGAGACCGTACGCAAAGGTAATCATCATTGTATTGATAGTCTGGAAGCCATTACATCCACAACTCACTCACCGAATGTTTTCTTCTAGAGCGAACCGCATCGAAGCCTCCTATTTGCCGCATCTAACCACGACCAGTCTCTCAACTGTTTTTTCTTTTTTTTACGCAGGAAATTCCAACAAACTAGATTTCGTGTTTCTGGCCCACGGAACTGAACTCCTATCGACGTTTCATCTTCCCTTCGGGATTGCATCTTTCGCTGCCCGTCCATACAAAGCCCAGTGGTACATGTGGCCACTATGGCCCCTGACCCTCCCAGTGATGGCACTTCTCTGGGTCTTCGGTCATCCATTCGTTGCCGATAATTACCGTCTCGATGATCTCTTCACTCAAACCTGGGTCATCCCCAGATACGGTTTTCAGGTCAGCAAAGTCTGTCTATTTCTTATTCTTCCTGCTGAAATTGATGTATTTCTGATTATTTACATTCTTGATGGAGCAAGGATGAGGCCGGGACTGATGATACATCCACTATATTGCAGTATTTTTTGAACTTCGAGAAGAATCGCATCAATCGCCTGATAGAAGAAGCGATTTTGAAAGCCCAAGACAAAGGCTGCAAGGTCATCAGCCTTGGGGCGCTGAACAAGGTTGGATTGACTTCTCTGTCATAGCTCTTATCGCTTACAGAGCACATGTCTCTGATCACTGTGATTTCCTCTTGAACACACCGAGATGGCCTCGTCCAGGCTAGGTCTCAGTTCGCAATAGTTGTTTGCTGATAATAGCTGGTGTTACTGTTTATGGTGCATTCAAAATCAGAGTCTGGTACATTCTTCTTGAGCCCACTTCCACTTCCCCTTCCTCAGACCCTGATATCGTCGTGCACAAGTGATTCCTTTTTTTGAACGTCTTTCGACACTATAGATATGTCACTATTGCATAAGAAACGAAATGACGCTCTCTTGGGATTTGGCTGCGGGGATTCCTATCTCTCGATTACCCGTCGTCAGTCAATTTGTTGTTTCGTGTTGGTGTCAATTAGTTTTAGTTATGTTTGGACGAGATTGGTGATCATGTCTCTCTATAGCTAGGATAGCCTTGATACATACCCGCGCAAGTTGCCTTCAGGATTACCAGGTGCTTGACAGATGGGAAATTTGCAAGTCTTTTTCCTGAGGTCGAAGGGGATGGTGTTGTTTGGGAATTGGTGTGCAGAACGAGGCTTTGAATGGAGGAGGAACGCTTTTTACTGAGAAACACCCGGACTTGAAGATCCGTGTTGTACATGGAAACACGTTGACCGCTGCCACAATTCTAGACAAGATTCCCAGGGATGTGACTGAGATTTTCCTGACAGGAGCAACGTCGAAGCTCGGCCGAGCTATTGCCCTGTACCTCTGTCGACGTGGTGTACGCGTTCTGGTGAGCAAGTCCACGTCTTTCTTCGAGAATTTGTCATCGGTGAATCTTACTGCCAGCTAGAGTAATCAGCTTCTAGCTGATTACTCTAGCAGCGGGAGGGGAGACTGTGGTCATAGTTACCCTGTCACAGCAAAAAATCCCCTTGTAAGCAACTTATAAAGTGTTTTCTCTTGTAATGAACTTCGGGTTATGAGGTACTATCCCAACATCTACTCCGGGCACTGATTTGAGCAAATTATTTGTCACACAGATGTTGACGACATCCAGGGATCGTTTTGAATCGATTCTCCATGAAGCTCCAGTCGACTGTCAGAGATATCTAGTTCAGGTTACCAAGTATCAAGACGGGGCTGATTGCAAGGTACGCAACTGGTCACAGGCTCTGTTCAGCATGTTTTCCATGTCCTTCCACGTCACCCATTGTGTATCACCTGTCCGTGGAAGTTTTCCTCTAATCTAGGTGCGAGAGCAAACTCCCCTGTCCTATTTTGTGATCGATCCTGAGGTGTGTGCGTTTGTATGTCGGCGGTACCTGACTGAACCCCGTTGTTGCCATGCATCCAGACTTGGGTGATGGGCAAGTGGGCCACTCCAAAGCAACAGAGCTACGCACCTTCTGGCACGCACTTCCATCAGTTCGTGGTCCCTCCGCTGGAACCAGCCCGCAAGGACTGCACATACGGCACCCTAGCAGCGATGCAATTGCCCAAAGCAATGAGAGGATTGAGGACCTGCGAGGTATGTATCCTCTATCAAAGAAACCGCACAAAGCTGAAAGTCTCTGTGAATCATGATTGCTGTATAGGTTGAAGAAGCTTGTACGGAAACACTTTCTGTTCAAATTGAACCAAAGATTCGATGGATTGTTTATTCGAGCACGTGCCGGAGGATGTAGTTTACGATCATCGGCTTTGATCAGTCCACTAGGCAGCTGATTTAAAAATTGGATACAAATGATTGGAATCTCTGGGCGCATCTGTTTTGGAGGCAGCCCCCAGTGAGCCAGGACGCTTGCCGTCGCTGCCTGAGCACCAACTGGTGACCTCTGCGCACATCTGTGTCTGGATCATCCTGGTAACATCCGCCGACTTTCATGTGGTTTCGTTTTTGTACAGTCTCTCTGTCAGCTAATTGATGGGAACCTGGACTGTCGATGTTGCAGATGACAATGCCGAGAGGATGCGTGCATGCTTGTCACGCTGGTGGGTTGGTGCACGCTTTAGAAGGCTGGACGCATCATGAAGTAGGAGCAATAGATGTGGAGCGTATAGACTTGACATGGAAAGCCGCGATGAAGCACGGCTTCTTCCCCGTAGACTAGAAATAAATGTGTCCAGATTAATGTCGCCAGATATAAATGTAAAAAGCATGTGCACTGAGTTACTGCCGACTTAACCTCATGACATCCGGCCATGACGAGGCGAGCACGGTGATCCTGAATGTAGACATCGTATGTTGGATCTGCAAAGTAAGGTTAACATCTTTTTACTCGCTAAAACTCTCATCCGTCTTCTGTACACCATACTTTGAGTCCGAGCACCAGGTATTGTGTGTACATCCTGACGGGGAGCAAATTTTAATCTACTCATGAAAATAAAGCATTCATGTTTGACTCTACGCAATGTCTGCCAATTTGAGTCCATGAGCTCCAACTTTTATTCGGACCTTGTTATCATACTCGTGATGTGAAGATGGATCGATGAACAACAGCGATCGCCGAGTATACGTCTTGGTGACTTGCTCAGGCGCATGCCCTGATACTCGATCGCTGAGCAAGTTGTCTGCAAGATTTACGAACCGGGGGTTCGTATCGCGTTTTCGAACCACTGCAGTAAAACTTCACCGCAAATCTTCCAGCTGAAACACGGGTTTCGAGGTGGAACCTCGTTTTTCGACTTTACAGAGTCGTCAGAGGGATGAAAATCTGCAGGAAAATCCAGAATATAGCAATGAAAGAGGAAATTTTCTCGATAGGTCCATTCCCTACAATTGGTCAACCTTTTTTTCAACACACGCTGATACGGTATGAGCATGCGGTATCAGTAGGCCTCTGAGAAGCCTACTGATAATAAAAGGTGATAAATACGAATATGTCACCTCGGAGGAAAGTCTGATTTACCCTGGGAAGTCTTGCAATTTTAGTCATCGCTAGGCTTGGCCACGGTCCGGTTAACGGGTCCGGAAAATTTGTAGACCGGTTAACCGGTCCAGGATTGGTCCGTATCGGTTAATGGTTAACCGATATTTTAACTGGTCCTTACGGTTAACCATCGGTCCGGATGGGGAGGGGCCCTTAAACCCAAAAATCCTCGATGGGAAAGAGGTGGTGGGCCGCGACTCAAATGAGCCCACGGTTTGGTTTTTCATAGTTCAGAGACTCGAGCTGAGTTGGACCAATTCGTGAAAGAATTTTCTCACACTGAATCACGAATTGAGTACCTCGCTGGTCTGATTCTGCTGCCAGAATAAAAATTTTTCCGGACCGGTTAACCGTAGGTCCGGACCGTGGCCAAGCCTAGTCATCGCCAGTACAATATAATCCAATATTCTTCATCTCCATGCTCCAAGAGGTTATAGCCCGTGCTCGAAGGTATACATACATACACGAAAGGTGACAGTATCGTCCACTCAACATCTGGTGACTAGTTGGAATCTAATCACCTTCGTCGGAGTAAAGTAAATTGTAAAAACACGCCCTCGAGTAGAATACTACTGAAATACGATAAATATACGAAAGTACGAGGTTTGTCTTCGAACAAGTTGTAATGAAATTTCTCCACGAAAAGCATCTTAACGTACTATATGTTTTATGATTTCAAAAATATGGTACAAAAGATGTTGACAGTTACATTCAAATAATTCTAAGATATCATTATACTAAATATCTTTCATACGATATGAAAACATCCACTTCTTTTAAAAGCAAGATTTCACTTGAAGGGGGTACTATATTGAATATTATCATACATATATACGTATCATGTTGTTGATACCAGATGCCAGACAATCCTTCCTTGACAATCCAACACAAACTTCACTAGGAAACGCAATCCAGAAAATGCAAGTCAAACACTTAACAATTTAATGATATGATTTACCTTTTTTGGTCTACCTTTACTAGATTACAAAGTTTTACAAAAAAGCCTTAGTTTTGAGCTACAAAAACTATTGCCACCTCTACTCTTGATAAGAAAAACAAGCATGTTCTTATTTGTATTCTCTGCATCAACTTTAGCTGCTCTTTAGTTTTAGTTTGTGCATTGTTTGGAGAAGAGAGTTATCAATCAGTGCATACATATTTCATCTGATATAAATTTCATCCCGTCACTCCTGTCAATGCAAGCATTTCCTGTTAAGAAAGTCCGTGAATTTAGAAAAATATATATAAAATGATCTTTAGTTCGAAAGAAGAGGTTGTGAACAAATATACATACGCTGAAGAAAAAGAATAAAAATGATTGACGTTAGCTTCTCTTTGTATGCTAAAAAAAATCAATTTCATAATAGCTCAATATTTGACCTAGTCATGCATCAAACTGCATGTTAGTATTCTCTGTTCCAAATTTAGTGATACTTTTTCAGTTCTGCAATTCTACCTGACTCAGGAACTTGTGATTATTTTGTAGATGCATGTCAATTTGGCATGTAAGTTTGTTGTCTTAGATATGAAGACTCCCTTATACAGATTGTTTTGTACAAGATGCATTCTCTCCCGATTACCCCTTCTCTTATGTGTTGATACGATTTTACTCTGCATTTGGTTTACATTAAGGTGTATGTCCGTAGATTATATTGGATAAAACATATAAAGAAAGGAAATTTGAATAGAATCACATAGAAGCTGGATTGAATTAATCTGACTTTGTCGCTGCAGGTCGAACATGACTGAAAAATCGATATATGACTTTGGAGTATATTGTCGTGACTATGCAGTCAAGACATTTCCTAGCGTAGGAACCTGCGTGGCACGTGGATCAGTGTGGGCACGTTTTCGCCACGCGGCAACTGCATGACAGTTCTTCGTTGTGTCCTGTGATGCAGACAATGTCCACGATACTTCTATTCGAATCAAAAGATAATGGATATGAAACCAATAAGAATTAGGCCCAAAGCACACGACCGGTAGCGCCAGCTAATCCTCGCTTGTTATTGGCAGCCGAGCTTCCCCATTTACCACACTGAGGGGCAATTTGATATATACTACCTAGCAAAGAAATCGACTTCTCCAAACTACCAGGCACTTACGCTGGAAATCAGGTTTTTCCGGAATATATCGACTTCACGTGTACTTTCCGCGCCTTCTTGGGTTACTCTTCCAAAGACTTCTCACCGCTACGTTGCAATTAGTAGAGATAATTTTTCCCTTTTCAATCCAAAGTCACTACCGGTAGTGTGGTAGAGGTTATGGAATTCTCTCCAGCTGGCCAACTTAGGCCTACAAAACCTGGTTTTCTTATAACCAGGAGCTTGGTGCCTGCTGCCGGTAGTGTGGTAACGCCATTAGTCTTGTTTTTTCAAAGACCAAACAAGCCTAATAATATAACTGGCAATACAAGGATCATATGTCTTTAATTGCTCACAAGTACATGTAGTTGTATGCGTTGCATCTGTGGAGATCGGACAACGCACATGCATTTTAGATATAGATAGATAGAGGGGAAGGGCTAATTATCATTCATTTTGGGCTAATCATGAAGGCCTCGATTGTATCTACAACCTCTAGCGTAGCGTGCAATGTTGTTTATGAGAACTTTGGCGGTGGAGTGACCTGGAACCATGAATTTGCTTAGCTGAGATGCGTATTGAACTTCCATTGTGCATATCACACTCAAGCCAAATTTGGTTGCTTGAACATTCAATACGACATTTGTCATTTATGTTCAATTCAAAGAGTGTCTAGTGTGCAGATGAAATCGTTACATGCTTGCACCATAAAATACTTGTAAATCTTCCATATATAAGTTCTTGATATTTTACCTGCAATTGTATTATTGAGATAAAAACATCTAACTCTAGTTCATTAAATGCACAAGTGATAGAGAAGTGCAAACCAAGATTCTGCGTAAATTTGATGTAGCCGGATGATACACATTACACAAATCTTCAATACATGGGCACAATTTGAATAGCATGGAGTAACATAGATAGTTGCTGAGAGTTATGATCTGGGTAGAGATACAAATTTGAAGAAAAATGGATAGGGATACAAATTTGAAGAAAAGTGTTGAACTCTGAAAAGGAAATCATGTTACATACGACGGCCTTGATGAAGGCAACACGTATATGTAGATTATTGTTAATAGGTATTATATCTGAACGCCTTGGATAAAAGTAAGCTTAATTCAAATTATTAATCCAAACGTTTTCTGTCATTCATTTCAATACAAGTATTGAAATGAATGAATGAATACATCATTTAACATGGATGGTTTTAAATGCTATCACCTCTAAAATGAAAGAGTTGAAAAAAGCATAAAAGAGGTGTATACAAAATAAAAAATCATGAAAGATAACATTTTTTTATTAAAAAAATGAGAAAGTAAAAAGAGAAAGAGATTAATTTCAATTTCAGATGATCAAGTTCAAGCATGACTAATTCTTTTAACAATATTGAAGAGATAACTTTAAGAGGATGAAGACTTTGTAGTGAATTATTTGCTTTGAATGGATTAATATTTTAAATTCAAAACATATAAGAAGATCATGGAAATAGAAAATTATATTATGAGCATGAATATACATTTGTCTTATTTCCATGGTTTTTATTTTATTTTAGTGATGTTCAAGAGGTTTTACCTCATGTATAAGTCATTCAATACTATGACAATGATATGCTTCAATATGTGAAATGAAATGAAAAGATAATTTTGCAAATTTTTCAGCTTGTTGATACGTTTCAAACAAGAAGAATGAAAAAATTAAACGTGAAGCAAAAAGAGGTTACCATGATCAAATTAAAAAAAGTTGGTTTTCAATTAATTATCATGAATATGAGCAAAACATAAACCTTGAAGTTGTTCAAACAAGAGTTGAAAAATAAAATACGAAAATAAGTGATAGTAAATAATTCATCCATAATGTATGAATCAATACTATTTTTTTTAAAAAATTAGCTTTTTATGAAATCACATAAGTTGAATCATCAAGCAATGTTTGATGATAACATCAATGGAGTTGAAAAATCTTTGACTTTAAAAGGTTATGCATCATCATGAAAATCTGTATCAACATTCAAAGGTATATTGTGCAACTTGTGATTTCAAATTTACAAGAAGAATATGAAAAAAAGCAAGAATGTGTGATAATAATCAATGTTTCATGTGAATGCAAAAAAATGTGTCACAGTGCCAAATTTTGTCAAATTCAATTTTGTGGTCTTGGTTGAATTTGACAAATCTCAACAAGATAACAAGGAGAATGTTAAATGAAACAAATTTTTTTAAACAACATTTATGTCATAGAGTACAAAAAAGTTGATGAATATTATCTTGGTGATAAGAATTTCCTCCTAGAGACTTATCATGTATTTGACTAAACATGTAGTCATAAATCTCATATGTGAATTATCAAAAACTTTGTCTGAATATAATTTAGATATGATTTTTTGAATA